CTTTTTTCTCAGAATTCTGACCTTTTTTCTCAGAATTCTGACCTTTTATCTCAGAATTCTGACTTTTTTTATTGTTAGAATTCAGTCAGAATTCTGAGAAAAAAAAGTCTGAATTCTGACTGTTTTCCCATACTAAACTGAAATAAAATTTAAAAATCAGTTAACTTTCTTTTTTTTTCCACTGGCCCTAATCCTCTTCCGTAGCTTTCTGATCTTATAAACGGACAGGATCTTTTCAGGATGCAGCATCAAGTCAAAGACAATTGATGCTTCATTTGCTGTGTGCTTTAGAGGATTGTTTACTCTTAGAAATGGGTCACTGGCTTTTGAAAATTTTAATGGTTTCTCAGAAATGTAAAAGTGCCTCTGGTTATAAATCGAACTGCACGTTTTTAGCTTCTGACTTTGTTTAGCTATCTCTTTGTTTTTAATGGTTTTTACAAAAATCCCATAAATGATCAGATTACTCTTCAAAAAAAGGGTTTCACCTAAGATATTTGAGATTATTTGTAAGATTATTTCTAGCCAATAAATTCAGTAATATAAGAGAAGTTTGCCTGCAGGGTAACCTACAGTTAAACTAGAAGAGTTGATTTACTTCTGGATCTGAAATGTTTCTCTCAACCCTCCACTTGCTCTTTGATGCCGCAGGTGCAGATAATAAATGTTTTTGACCTTTGGCTCTTTTTCTAATCAGGCTTGGTTATATTTCTGAGACGGAAACCTGCTGCTCCACCCAGCCATAATGAAAGACGCTCTGACATCATTTATGTTTTTAATCTTTAAAGGTTTTGTTCTGTTGCATATCAAACAGCTCCAGTTAAAATGTCTCAGGTCTTTTCTAACATTCTGGTGAAATTTTTAGATTAAATTTTGGATTATTTATTATATTCAGGTTTGAGGAATTAAAATGTTTAGTAGCATGGTTTTGGGGTTTATACTGCGGAAGAGGATTAGGGCCAGTGGGGAAAAAAAAAAAAAGTTAACTTTATTTCAGTTTAGTATGGGAAAAAAAAGTCAGAATTCTGACTTTTTTATTCTCAGAATTCAGTCAGAATTCTGAGAAAAAAGTCAGAATTCTGCCTTTTTTTCCATGCTAAACCGAAATAAAATTTAAAAATCAGTTAACTTTTTATTTTTTCCACTGGCCCTAATCCTCTTCCGCATTAAACAGATACTTGCATTTAGGAAAGTGTAAAAACTGCAGATGAATAATCTTATTATTTTTTTTAACCTTTTGGCTGAAAATTCAACTGTTTTTCTTGCATAAAGAGCTGATGGTTAAAGCTCAGCTTTTTAATCACTTCAACCGATATCTGCAGTAAAAGATCCAATTTATCCAATTTATTCTTAAATGGACAAAAATTGTTTTGCAGTTTTTTTAAACAGTTTAGATAATAATGATCTGTTGCTCATTTATAACATTTAACTCTTAATGGGGACGTAGATTATTTATCTAGCAGAATATGCTGTGCTGCATTGAAGCTATCCACCCCTAAAGAGGTTTTGAATTGATGCTCTTTTTAGTGAAGACAAATTTTAAACATGTAAACAATCTCTTCTTAGAGGGAAACGCTGTTCCTGTTTTCCACAGGAAATGTTGCACACTGCTGAGCTGCGTAGCGTAGTCGGTCTCTGTGCTCGGAGCTCTTTCCTTACGGCTGATCTTCAGGAGGCGGGGGGTAATCTGTTCTGCACAGCGTGGGTCTTTTTACAGGCTCGCATAAATACAAATCAAATCCAGGTGTTTATTCTGTTTGCTCTTGCTGCACTTTGACAAAAACATTTTTCTTGCAAAACCTACATTTCCCCTTTTCTCTACAGTCATGAGTGTTTTGCAATGCGCCGTCTTTCAGGGACGGTTGTTTTTGTCAAAATGTTCCAGGTCATTGAAATGCTGTTCTGCAAACAAAATGCTGCAGGTTAATGTTTATTTATTTACCAATAGCATAACCTGTCCATCCAGATTTTAGGGTGAAATACTTTCAACAGGACAGATTTTTTATTCCTGATATGAAGCAAAAGTTAAAAGTTAAATTGAACCTATATATACTTATTTTCTGATAAAGCTGAATGTGTAATTTATAGTTAGTGATTTTATTTTCTTATTTTGCTACATTCAAAGGAGCAGTAAGTGTTTGCAATCTGAAGAACACGCTAAACAAAAACAATCCCTTCCTAAGAACGTAAGGCAGCTAAACCCAAGATAACTAGGAACACGATTCAGCCGCCGCTACAAACATAAAATATCAAATGATTTGGCAACCATGGTGACTCGCATGATTGGCTCAGAAATCAGAAAGTAAACATGGACAACGCACTACAATGATCAAAGTTGTTTGGGTCCGTACCTCTGGGTATGAAAGAAGGAAAAACACGGAAGACGTCGTTGATTTTGGCGACTGGTTGTTTACAGGGAAGGTTACTTCCATCCCGGATGACAAATAAGATTTAATTTGGTTCATTTTACTGTCAAAATGTTACTTGTTACTCTCTGAAGTGTCTCATATTAAAACAAATTAATATTAGTCAGAGGACACAGAGAAACAGTATTTAAATTAAAGTTTTTATCACAGGAGAAAAATTATCCAAACCTCCTTTATCACACCGGACTTCACTTTTTAGCCCCACCTCGGCCCGACTGCTGCTACACCTGTTCTCAATCAAGAAATAAATTCAACAAAGATTCTTGTTAGAACAAAAAGGGACAAAAGTAGCAGATCTATCTGCCCAGAAAGGCTCATAAAGCCATTTCTAAAGCTTCAGGACTCCAGTGAATCACAGTGAGAGCCGTTTTCCACAAAGGGAGAAACCATGGATCAGTGGGGAACCTTCCAGGGAGAGACCAGCCGATCTACATTACCCGAAACTCATCAGAATCGCCAACAAAACCCAAAGACCTGCAGACCTCCCTGCCTCAGTAAAGGTCAGAGGTCATGCCCCCATCATCAGAAAGAAACTGGGCTAAATTGGCTGCAAGGCAGAAATCCAAGACCTGAACCACTGCTGAGGGAACTGAACCATATTTACATTTTCTTAATGTACATTTAACTAAAAGCTAAACCTTTTAGAAGGTCTGTGTCTCATTACATCTGGAGTAAATAATAATAATAAAATAACTGAACTTTATTAATTTCACATTCAGGGAGCAGTGTTGGGTTAAGGGTCTTGCTCCAGACCCAGAGTGGAGGCTGTGGGGATCGAACCGGGTACTTTCAACCTTCTCAGAGTACAAGCGCACTGCTCTAACCACTAGGCCAACACTTTCCGCAATGAATTGGCTTTAAAATTCATTAAATGTGGCTATCTTGGCATTTCAAATGCTTTATTTTGTCAGCTATATAATATCAGATATAAATGGTTCCGTATGTGTGCGCGGAACAGCAGTTTGTTCGGAAAGGAAGTCGGTTTGGTTCACGGTTTCGTGGTCACTGTTTTTTTTTATTGTTAGCATGACATGTTGGTCATTTTGCTGTTAGCGTAAACAAAACGTGTTGCACAATGCTTGCACACTTTTGCACTTTTATCCACAACCTTCTTTCCGCCGTCATCGTAGGTCACTCTAAATGCAAAGCGGTCCCATACAGCAGACCTATAAAGTGCTGCTGGCGCGTCTTCCAACTCCTGTTCTTTCCCACTCGCCATTCCAACACCCGGCTAAGCTGCT